GGCCTCTGCCCCAGCTGGAGCTCTCACAGCTCAGCTCTGAAGGCTGGCTCTTAGTGATCTTTAGGAGCTAGAACTGTCGCAGGATCTCAGCACACGTCCTACCCTGTCCTTCTCCTGCAGGTTGCTCCTCGTTTGAATTCTCGATGATAACGTGCCACCACGCCAAGACCTTCTCCTCCTCCCTACAGAACTGGCTGGATCATTCCCAGCACCCCCCCTCCTTCCTCGCTTTGCTCCTTTGTTAATTGCTACCAAAGACCTGCACTTCCAGAAAAACCCACCAAATCCATCTTGCTTTCTTGTCTTAATATCCAATCCCAAAAGAGCGGCCTTCTCCTCCTTACCTTAGTGGCAAAGGCGTGAGGCCAAGGCACCGTCTGGAACCGCGGCTCACGATCCGTGGCTGGGCTTTAAGAGGTAACTCTCAGAGAGTTTAAAGCCCCGACGGAAACGACCAAAACCTGTGCTTGACACCATCCAAACGCACAAAGGGAACCCAAAACTCTGCTGCTTTGTCAGCCCAATCCATGAGATGCCAAACTTCGAATGTTTGATGAAGCATTTTGCTCTGAGATGTTTGCGTGACGAGATATTAAAGCCATAACGATGTAAATGAGTAAAAAAACCCTGTAAATACTTTAGAGTGGAGAATGAGAGATGATGCACTATGAGAAAGGGAGGCGATGTGGAAACTTTCATGGTTTCGATTGGGAGGTTTTGTTGGGTTTAGTTCATGGTTATAATGTAGTAACCCGTGAAACCATCATGTAACTTCTTCACTCATCTGGATCCGGAAGCTTGTACCTTTTTTTGAAGTCACCCGTCCCATTCTTTGCTCTAAAATGCTATTTTTATACTGGTTTCATATCCACATATCCCAGGGAAATGTCAGTAATTAATACAAATCACAGAGGTTATCACTTCTCCAGGCTGGAAATGAAGCCTGTAATCCTTGGCCACGGGCCATGCCCTGCACAGCTCCTCAGCTCAGAGCAGCCCCTGCAGAGAAAACTGCTCTTCTTCTTGTTCTCAGCAATAACTGGAAGTTTGAGTTCCCACAGTAAAGCTCCTCACTGTTCTCCACCACCTCTCAGTGCTGCCTGCAGGAGGAGGAGAGCCTGGCTCAGCACTGCCCTGCTGCTGAGGGCTCCTTCCTAAGAGAGCATCGCCCAGACTTCAAGTCTACCCTGTCTGGAACATGGTCTCAGCCTGCACCAGAGGCCAGCACCACGCACCTTCATGTAAGAAGGCTGATGGCTGCAGGGTGGGCAGCCGAGAGCCCCGTGTGTCAGCTCCACATCCATTTCCAAGCTCTACACCTCAATCAGTGCATTTTGCACTCTACCTGCCTCTATCCCAGTGCAGCAGCACCACCAGTTAACATAAGCCCTGAGTAAAACATAAGCAAACGTTGCCACTCACCTACAATTGGCTCAGTCTCCTACGTGCTGGTTTGTGAGCAGCTGCAGTTCCCGGGCACTGCCCCAGCCTGGGCTGCTCTATACACTGTAGTACATACACCCCCCCTGTATATGCTAGAGTGTATATACCATACGATGCTGTATCCGCTGTTCTATAACCTCTTCAAGACTACACTAAATAAATTTTTACAAAAGAGAAACCCCCACCTTGTCTTTGTTGTGGAAACTCTTTCCTCAAGGAGCACGTTATTCCTAGAAGGAGATTCCTAGGACACAAGCTACACAGGGTGGACATGAAGGTAACGTGTTGCCCTTCTCCATCCGCGTCACTGGACTGGGTGAGGAGTGCTCTAAGGGAAGGGAGGGGAACGCACCGAGCAGATCACAGGGGATTTTGTGCATCCAGGTAGGAAGGACTGAAGAGATGGTTTGGAAGAGCTGCTGCCTCCTCCTGATGCACTTACTTACACACGTCTGAAGAACAACGCTGTTACTTCTTTCTCCCCCTTCCAACTGCTCCTCTTACAAGCACCAAAGCAAAGTTACTCTTGCTGAAATGAGAGTAACCTAGAAAGGAAAGTCAGCGTAATATTTGGCATTTTTAATTTAGGTTTGTTTTATTTAAGTTTAATGTTAATTCCATGCTGTGTTTCAGTAAGAACAATACAGATTCTGTATCTGTGGCTCCAGTCAGATATCCAGTAGTACAAATTAGCTTCAAGTTACACATACTGAACAAAAGAGGTTGAGAGCGAGCGAAGGGAGATGGGGACAGGGGAGGGAGAAAGAAAAAATATTGAACACGCATGCAGGCTTATCAATGCCACCTTCAATGCTAACCTGCTTGGAGGAAAAGTAAAGAACAGGCAAGAATGAGCAGCCACGGATTGTTGAACTGTTACCAGCACCATGATTCTCAGCAACGTTTCAGCAGTTTGGAAACTGGTGTGTTTTGATACAGTAAAACCCCTACAACCTATGTCCCAAAGCAACCTGTAACTTCAAGCTAAACACCCAATCGAGTTGAAACATTGGTATAAAAGTCACTTGAAACAGTTATAAAAAGAAAGAGAAAGAGAAAGGAAACTGCCACCACACGTGCACTACTCTGCTGTGACACATCCCTGCCCTCCGAGGTGTAACATCCACTTTAACCTGCCCCATCTGGCGGGAGACAATACAGTAATGCTGGAAGAGCCTTTACACGCAGTCCTGTTAGTGTCTTAAAGAACCTACAAGCTGGCACCAGTAAAATCCACAGAAATTCACTCTTGCCTTTAAGAACTTTTAAACTGTGTAAAAAAAAAAAAAAAAAAAAACAAAACCCAAAACAAAATAAAAACCAAAAAAAAAAAAACCCCAAAACAAAATAAAACAAAAAATAAAAATAAAGAAACCCAACAGGGCAGGAACCTAAATTCTGAGCCCCAATGTAAAAGTCAGATTTGGTGGTTCTCAGAGTGACACTGAGGGTTTTTGTGGGGAAGGGGAAGGGTGGTCAGAGATGGGTTCTCTTGTTGGCCTTTGTGTCTCACTGGTTTTCATCTTCCACATCCTGCAGCGCTTCTTTATTCTGTTCTTCACCTGTGGAAGTGGTTCAGAGGAAGATGATGAACTTTGAAACACGCTGAGCACCTCACCAGGCATCTATAGAGATTAATAGTTCCATGCAGCACACACGCCCGCTCACACGCTTGCATCAATGGCACACACACACTTGTCACACGGCCAGGCCTGGAGGGAAGCGTTCCCATGGGAATTAAGCCTCATCACCGCCCCGCTGCGTTTCATACAGAGCTGTAGCACAGGCTATTAGAAGACGTACTCTTGTTGTAAGGACAAAGAGCAGCAAACCACCCTTCCTGAAGACTGAGGCTGTGCACGGGATCATCAATAGCCAAATAAGTCATCACAAAAGTTGTGGATCAGCATCCTTCAATCAGGTAATACCTTCCCAAAAGCTTCATTTCTATGCTAGAAAGCCCTGAGGACCTCTATTCACTACCCACAGAAAGCCAGGGTTTAAAACTTAACCTTCTCTCTATCCAAGTCCACCCAAGTCCCACCACCAGCAAAGTCCTGCAGTATAAAGAGACACGGATGAGGTATTATTAAAGGTACCAAAAGTAGTATAAAACCATCATTCCCCTTTTAAGTCCAACTTCAAGTCCCAGATATCAGGTTATTAAAGGAAAACGTTCTGTGGGAATTAACTTCCCTTGAAAACCAGCCAGTTTGGACCTATTCACCCAGGCTGCAACATGCAGTGAGATGAAATCTATCTATAAAGCCTCTTGTAGTAAGTGTTTGGTTACACTCAAGTTGCCTTGGGTGATGTACATGCAATGCCTCCTACACAGCTTTGCCCAGCTCCAACTGCAAGAGGGAAGGTTTAACATCCCTCAGCTAGTGCCATGCACAAGTGAGTTAACGGGTAAGAGAAACTCAAACTGTTTTCTTTACAATTATCCTTAAGTACATGAGATGGTTTGAGGGCAAGAAACAAAACCTACCCATTAAAAAGATTGATTTGCACTAAAATCTTATGAGACTATTGATTTCCAGCATGGAACCGGCACGCTCAGAGCATGTCCAGATTCAGCACTGGCACCAGGTACAATACAAGGTGGATTTCTAGAACACAAGACATCTTACATTCAACAATGACATTTAGGATACGTAGCACATCATCTGAGAGGAAAGCAGAGGCCCTAACACCCAGGAAGATGGATTAAAGGATCTGAGCATGCTCTAGTCAATGCACTTAAGCAAGTAACTCCTGTAACAGGCGATTGTGAAAAGTACTTTTCATGCCCAAATATTCTTAATATCCATCCAGGAATGCAGCTCAATTCCCAAACATATAAGTTACTTTGGGTCTTAGTCAAGCACATTGGACCTGGGCAGGAGCTGCAGGTCACCAACTGGCAGGACATGGCTCAGCCCTGGAATGGAGTCAGACACAAGCAGTTTATCAGCAGCAGGAGTGACAGAGGCAAGCACGATTAGTGACTGAAGAAAACTGACACTGGAGAAGTTCATTCAGCCATGACAGAGACTTACAAAGTAGAGATTTTAGGAAATGAACAGTTGGACTTTCCTTTAGGAATCTATACAGCAGGAAAGAAGGGGAGAACAGGAATCATGAAGACGACATTACAAGCGCGGATATAAACTCAACAGCTCGTCTATGACATGGTTAAAAGGTACAGGAGATGAGATGAAAGGTGCAGCAGCTGAGGAACACCTTGGTTTAGAAAGTCCTTCCCCGCAAACCTACACAACTGAAATCAAAACAGGCACAAGCTGACTGTGAAACAGAAACTCTTGTCTGAGTGTCCCCCACTCAGTTTTAGTTCTGTAATCATTCTCTTCCTGCCGTTCATCATAAACAGTAACCAGGGAACGTGAAATACTTCAGGAAGGGCAAAAATACCTGTTTTTTTAGGTTAGGGAGGTCATTATGGAAAATTTCAATCTAGATTATGCAAAAAGAAATATCAGAACCTCTGTAAAGAACCTTGAACTTCTACAATGTGAGGTACACGAGATGCTGGCCAGCTCACAGGCAACTAGAGACAGCTTGTGGAAGATGTTCTGATGCTTCTATCTCACAACAGCAAACCAGCCTTGTCACTTCACTGAAATGGCACCAGGACATTGGGCTCCATTAAAACCCCCCAAAGATGACCTGCAATAGTCAATACTCAGGATCTGTGCAAAGAGCTGGAAGCTGTCAGGTAACTAACCCATCAATCCTACACAAAAATGGGTAGGCAGCAAAAAGAGACTCCCCAACTGCTTTCAAATGGACACTACACCAATGAAGAACTCCAAAGTAACTCTATAAGGCTTCACCATGCTTCAAGTAACATCTTACAAACACACTTATTTTCCAGGTTAAGCAATGGTATCGTTTCAAACCTCTGCATTTCTAAGCAGCTAATGTACATCAAAAACAAGACTGACGCTTCCCCCCAAGTTAAAAGTACAGAAACTCAGCTCTTCCCACTTCTCTCTCCAGGACATAAGTAAAACATGAGTTTCATTTATCTGTACAGAGATTATGTCTCATTCACTACCAATAACCAGGGAAACAGAAGGTCTAATGCAAAAAGCTAAACGACTGAATTTTTACTTGGCATGTATATGGAAGTGTAAGAGGGAAAAGTTCCTCAGGATGCCAAAAGGATACTTTTAACTATCAGATATTAGTAAACAGAAGCAGTGTCCCACCCTCTGGTACTGCCAGGGGATACATTCAGTAGTTGCTGTGGCAATGGCCCACTTTAGGAGTTGCAACCTAATGTTTTGGGGAGTGTTAAAGTCCTTCAAAGACCTCAAACAGGAACTCAGATTTCTCAACGCTTTTCCTACACCACCTCCTCCAGTAACAAAGTAGTTTACAAAATCCCTTCTCCTTTTCCCTCTTCCCTTTGTACTCAGTAATTCTTTGTAAGAGGAGTAAATGAGGTGGGAAGTGTTGTACAGGTGCAGTAAATCTTCCACTAAAATGCCAACAGAAATAGTGAGTGAGCTGAAAACAAAGGGGAACTGGGTGATTTGCAACACTTGCTCCTGCACTGGCAGTGAGCATCTGTTGGAATGACAACCACAGATGACCATGACAAGCCATAAGAAGGAAAAGCTGAGTTCAGTGAGGTCACTGCTTTTAAATAATCACAAACAGCCAGATGGGGAGGAAAAGAAAGTTGACATTACTAATTGACAGCTCCTTCCTTCAAGTGAGAGCTGGAAGGTTTCAGGAGAAGACACTGTCACCCCTATCAACTTAATCCAGTGCTAAGAAAGGACAGAAGTCCAGGAGGGTCAACTATGAGGTCAACCAAAGCAATCCACATTTCCATGCTGTTTTCTGAAGAGAGGTCAGGAGAGAGCAGCATTTTAGAGGAGAGTTTACTTACCATCACCCTGCATGTCTGAAGTCCATAGTGTCAGATTATCACGTAACAACTGCATGATAAGTGTAGAGTCCTTATAGCTTTCTTCACTCAGTGTATCCAGTTCTGCAATAGCATCATCGAAAGCTGCTTTTGCCAACCTAAAAGCACAGAATAGATCAGATTTAACACGCTGCTCAACGGAAACCAGAAATACACAAGTTAAACCTGTGCCTCAGAACACCTATCTTCTACTTTGTTACAAGAGCTATGAATGTCATGTAGCCAAAGTTCTTTATTAATGGTGTATTTAATGGTGTTTAGGTGCTCATCTAACATCTCCCATCTTCAAAACCAGCCACTTTGTGTGCTTAAGAATCCTTTTACTCAAGAATATTGGATTTATTAACCATTTCCTCACCTTGCAGTACAACTGATCAAGGTCTACTAAAAACTTAAAAAGAAAGCTTATTACATACCCTGCAATGACAGGAATAGAAGACAAATGGTATTTGCTATCATCAACTTTTATGCTCCTATCCACGGATGAGCTATTCTCATCCTGTAAGTGTTCAGAGAAATGAGAAGCATGATCCCTGTTACCTGCGTAACAGCCAACAGCAACAGAGGCAAGTTAAATCACCTCAGAGCTTTTGCAGGTTATAAGGGCAGCCATAGAGTTAACCTGACAAGCTGTTACAACTGCCTTTAGTTGATCAATCCAAGGTTATCACTATTCTGCTTCTCCCACATGATCTACTCCCACCTAAACAAATGGGTCTGGCCTCAAAATGGCAAAGTTAAAAAGAGCCCTTCCAAAGAGCCGACCTCAAACGGAGCAATTCATCAACTACTAAGCAGGAGGAAAGCCAGCCCAGTGTCCCCACTGAGGGAAAGCACTTATCCAAAGCAGCAGCCACGTGTGCTGTGTTTGGTATCCAGGTAAGACCTCCCCATCTTCCCAGTCATCACTCACCTGCAGGCACGATCAGGAGAATTAAGAATTTCATAGTAGAATACAGAGAAGTTGAGCGCAAGTCCTAAGCGGATGGGATGTGTTGGCGGGAGTTCTGTCATTGCAATGTCACTAGCAGCTTTGTAAGCCACCAAGCTATTCTCTGCAGCCTCCTTCCTGTCATTTCCTGTGGCAAACTCAGCCAGATACCTATGGTAGTCCCCCTTCCTGGAACCAGAAGCAGTGAAGAGTCAGTAGTGCTTATTTCCCCACTAAATTAACAGCTGAACGCACAAACTGGTCTTTATATATTCATACAAAGGACAATGCTGATGAATTACTGTCCAGACAACAGTGCATTAGTACTGGAGTGAGTTTTAAACCATCATGCAGGAGAACCAGTTTGGGTTCACTTATTTTCTTGTACTGGTACACAAAATCACAGTATTACCTTCTCCATTATTAAACTGTCTCTGTACAACTGTATCTCATCTAAGCTAGCCAAGGTTTTGAACTGAAGGATAGAGGTAATTCAGCTACAAGGGGAAACATTGATTGTGTCAAGATTTAAACTGTGCTTCAGAAAGCAGAAAATATGCATCAAACCAGTGACTACAGCAACACACTCCAAGGCCAAGTTTCACCTGATAATGCAGTTAGGAGGATGACACTGCATGACAGTGATCAGTCTACTTTGTCTGTCTCTAGTTCCCAAGAAGATACTCACATTTTGTAATAGAAAACCTTGGACTCGCCAGTGTTAGCTGCTGGAATGAGGTGTTTGTCCAGTACATCCAGAATGTCACAACAGATTAACTTCAGTTCAGTCTCAACCTAGAAGGAAAAACACACCCAAAATGAAAAGAGGAGGCAAGGTTAGCGTGTAAAACTAAGAGCTATTTCACATCATCCAAGTATCAAACAGGCAGCAGCACAGAAATACAAAAGTGGGAAGACATAAGAAAAACAATATATTAGAATTCAGCTGCTCCACAAGTGCAATAAGCAAAACAGTTCTGTGTAATCAGCTGGCACGAGAGAGGCAAGGACTGATGTGTGATGAAATGTGTAACTGAATAATGGAAGACATCTCACTAGTTGCATTAGGTTTGTCCCAGGATATGGACTTCCTTGCTGCAAGGCTTGCACAACCCCTACTTCCTTACAGGTTTGATCCTGGAAGGCTGCCCTAAAAGCAGCAGCGGTGAAGGGAACAATCTGAAGGTCATTAATTCAAATCAGCTAAACCCCGTTACACCCCAGAGTTAAGAGACACCTTCAGAACAAGTTTCCAGCGACTACGTGGGAGGCAAAGCTCTAACAGAAGAGCCTGAAGACAAAAATCATGGAGTATCAGAAAGAGAATAAAGATGTTCCACACAAAAAGGTCAGACACAAGAGGGAAACAGACTCCAGAAACAGGCAAAAAAAGGCAGAGTGCACCAACTCAGAGAAAAAGCAAGAATCACCAACACTGAGATCTGTGGCCAAAGAAAACCCATCTATGAAGAGTTATTTAAAAACAGATGTTGAATTTTAAATAGCCAAAGTTGAAAATATGGTCACATCACCCTCATTTTTCTCTTTCATTTACAATATAAAGGTCTATGAGGTTAGGGTTTACCACAGGAAGTTGCACACCTGCAAGCAAAGAAACTAAGTACACCCAAAAAAGCAAAACCCTGTCTTTTGACATCAACACTGCCAAAACAAGACTTGCTCTGAGCATCCCATGTCCTTCACAGTAGCAGTGGTTGGATCACTGGCTCAAGCTACTTTTATGCATTATGAAGTAGAGGGTTTCAAGCAAAGGCATCAAATGAGTTATAAGGAACTACCAGAAACTGCATGTCCTGGATCACAAGAGCAGCCCCACTTAGTCCCTTTATCCCTTCCTATCCTCCCACCCATGCAGATTTCTTTCTTTCTTTAAGCACTTTTCTTGCCATGTGATATTTTTATCACTATATAGCTCCCAAACTATTAGGGTTTGTTACCACAACATCTATCCTCAAAAGCTGTTAAGTTATAGATCCAAAACAAATGTTAAACTGGCACATACACACACAGATTTGTTTGTACAAAATGACTTAGATTTGCAAGAGTTCCTTTAGAGAAATTAATCTACAGCAGATGTCATGTACAATGTCAGAATGCCCTAAGGTTCAGAGGAAGAGTTAGATGCTATAAAGTTATATGACAAATGCTTAAGGAAGTTGCTGAAATATGGTCACTTGAGAAGAATCTACTTCATATATTCTTGGGCTACAAAAGCTAGAAAACCTTTGGCCAGCAGTCAGTTCCTGCAAACTTCTTTCCTCTTGATCCTCTTTTTCAATGACTTCTTTTGCAGAGAGATCTTCAGCAAAACTGCAAAGAATTAAATCAGTTTCTAATCCTCTTTTGTTAAATAACCATACATGTACAAACTTCTATTTCAGCTCAGACAGACCTTTCACAGCTTTGCTTAAAGGATCACTCACACAAGTTATCAGAGATCAGCTGCTGTCCAGGGCAATGTAAATGTCCTGACCAAGCTTAGTTTAAATATGTTTGATATAAATAAGAGTTAAGAACAAAACAAGAAACCCACACCAAAACCCTAAAAGCTCTTTTACAAGATGGAGCTGTTGTAGACAGAGTGGCTCAATGAGCTCTTCAAAGCAGCAAAGCAGCACAGGAGCCCACACTAAGCTTGTTCAGAGCATTCAGAAATGGCAGGTTTAGGGGCCATCACCATTCCAGCTCCAAATGACATAGGGTGCTACAGGCTCTGACCAGCAAGGAAAGACTGCTCACCCCAATGGGTGCACAGAAGCCCCCACAAGCCACCCTGCCTCTATTTCAGTGGTAGTGCTGGCTTAATCAGATTCCAGACTGTGTTCTCAGCTCTGCAGATACAAAAGCTTGTAAACCACCCATCATCTAAAAAAGGAAACTTATTAGAAGCAACCAGGAGAAGGGTAACCTGTGCTAGTTCTTTGACCTGTTTTAGTATGTAGCCCCCAAAATAGCTGCACCTCACAAGTGAGATGCAACATGAAACTGGAACATAGGAAACTTTCCCTCCCAGCCCTGCCAAAACAAACAAGCCAACCACCCCCATTTATGCCAGTTCACAGCCTAAACTTCCTAAGGAGAAGGGAAGGAAAAGAGAGCCTTGCAACTGCCCCAGAACACAACCCAGAGCACTACAAACATGCATGCTCATACAGACCAGGAAGAGGAAGGTATTTCTCCCATGCTAGTATGCAAGGGATTTGGTTTTACTGCATGAACTGCATTACATGCAGACATACATCACTTCAAGGCTGAAGAATGCATGCCTCAGTGTGTACTCATCTATGAAGATGCAGTTGGATGGGAAAGGCAGGGGCTCTACTTTTGTGTTTCCAAATGGCCACAGGACCCAGAAAAACAGGCTGCCTTCAAAGGAAGCAAGAAGTGGAATTTCCCCCTCATGGCTATGTATGTGTTTTGGTACATTAATCTTCAGTGGTTTGGGTAAAGGCACAGCCTGGCATCTCCCATCACCTCTCAGTATTGCCTAGTGTATGCCTCAGACAAAACCAGCCCAGCCCTATTCTGACAACATCATCTCCTCTTGAGTTCTGCCCCAAGTCATGCTGACTAGTAGCTCAAAAACTCCAAACTAAGAGTTTGCTAAGTTGCAATAAATACTGATGTACACCAAACCCATCAAATCATTACTTTCACACAAGCTACCCCTTCCATTCCAACTCAAGCAGCACTCCATAGTTCAGGTGGTAGGAGAGAGGTGTTCTTCTAGAGATGTTGGCTCTCTCCAACTCCCCAGGGCTTTCAGCTCAGCCCATCAGCCCCCACAAAACTGAATTTACTCTGAAAAATGCTACAAGAGTGGGTATTTGTGGACAAGGTAAGCACAATAACCAGACCTCATCCCTTCAGAGAAGCACTGAGCATGACAACAGGGCAGCTGTGCTATACTTATACTGTTCCAGGAGCAAGAGTGAGAAGCATCACTCAAACCTTTGCAGTTATGTTCTTTAGGCCTTTACTGCTCCCATGCCATCTTGCCAAGCCCATTAACACTCTCCCTACAGCAGCTGCTAGCTCCTATTAAGTCTCCCAGCAGCTACAAACAGGATCTAATCTTCAGCTACAGTCGATAGCATCTTGGAAAACGCAGGCTAGAGTTGACACTGTTCATCTTTCTCCAGTATGGAATGACAGTACAGCTTTCCACAGCACTCTTCCACCTACAGCAACTGTCATAGCTAGTCCCTTTAAGGATTTAACAGGTGAAGATACTGCTGGCATGTATCTTCATATGGCCTCTCTCAATAGGTACTTAAGATCTACATACGTTTCCTGCACACCAGTCTGTTCTGCATGGTACTTGCTCTCTTCACAAAGAGAGATGCAGAACAAAGCCTTTTTTACAGTGCTTTCAAAAACAAGCAAAAAGTCTTTTCACTATTAAAGGATCTCTGGCAGAAAACAGTAACTGCCCACAAAACCCTCTGCAAACCCAACCCTGAAAGCACACAGTGTAAGACAAATTTAAACAATCATCTGATAGCTATTGTCTTATATGTTCTGTTTGGAAGATTTCAGACACTCATCAAGAAATGCTATTTGGGACTGTATGTAACTGGCAGAGCCTCATCCCATCAGCATGCCAGCATAAAATTAGAAACTCACAACTTGAACAATTCCATGGAGCAACAGAAACCCTGTGAGTCAACAGAAAGCAGTCCAGAGCCATTCCTGAGAAAAGATTTCCAAGCCAACATCATTTCCATTGGTGGTATATGAATCAGTGCCAGGTGATATAATAGACTCCACTGTTTCTCTGAGTGAAGAGCTGAACCATGTGGAGGCACTTGTCATCAAATAATGGAGATTAAGAAATGTGGGGGATTTAAACACAGGAGCATGCCTGTGCTGTGCTAAACCATCATGTAAGGAAGGTGGGGAAAAGGAGAACAAAGCTGACTGTTCTTACAGCTGAAGGTTTCATTAGCCCTTCCTGACAAAAGACAAAGCCTGCTCCAAGCTCTCCATTTTAGGTAAAGCTGCACAGACTGACTAGACTCAGCACGAAGTTATGTGGATCCATTTTTCTCTCCAGAGAAACAGAGAGAGAAAACAGCAAGGCCCTCGAGGTTATTACACATGCAAGTTTCACAGCTGAGATGACCATGACATCTTAAGGAGCATGGAAACACTTTATCTCAAATTGATTGCCTGAACTGCTATCCGTGTAGCTGACCAGCTTAGGACAAAAAGAAACCCAAAATTCTACATGTTAAGGAATCAGATGCTGTCAGAGAAGCCACATTACCTCAATACTTATTTTAACATAGGCACTGCTGTCTGAGCAAATAATGGGTCTGCCAGTTCAACTGTACAAGGCTAACTGGGCACCTGTTCTTCTGCTAAGCACTTAGTTTCAAGGGAAGGAGGAAGAAAAGAAGGCCAACGTACATAAAATGCACCTATGACAGTGATAAAAGACAAGGAGTCAAAGAAAGTGGCCATTTGGCTCTATACTGCCCATCTTTATGCCAAGAACACTGAAGATCCTTCCCCACTGGCATTTCAACTACCAGCGTTAAAATCTTGAACTCTGTAGGGCAGAGTACTGCAACAGCCCCAAGTGTCAAAGTCTGAATGACCCAAAGCAACTTTTATCAGAGGTAAAAGTGTAACAGCCAAACACCACCTTTGACATAGTTAGTTTTCAAAACAATATTGGATGGAGTAAACCAGCTTGGAAAGAATAAGGCCTCCTGAGCACATGCAGCCTCACACTTGAGAAAGCAAGGAAGAGGAAGTGCCAGCCTAGTTCAAATGCTTAGCAGATAATAGCTGCACTGAAGGAAAACCCCTCCCTTTCTCCTTTCAGTCTAGCGCCCTTTTGAGTGTTTACACAGAAACACCCAACCTCTCCCCTTCACCAAGTGTATTTATTCTCCAGACAAGGAGCAAACTTCATCCTCTCAAGACAGTCACCTTGTAACAGGTCACCACACTGCTGGCACTCTAGAATATCAGGACAGTTATGGTAAGGATAGCAAAACTGGACCTTAACATGTTACCATGATGCTGCAACACCAACTACATCTTACCATTTGCCGATATTCCCGAATCATTTTTAATTTGTCTTCTCCACCTTTGTTTTCTTCTTTCTGTTCAATGCTGCTGATTATTCTCCAGGAAGCTCTTCTGGCTCCAATCACGTTTTTATATGCGACAGAAAGCAGGTTTCTTTCTTCCACTGTCAACTCCACATCCATTCCAGCCACTTTCTTCATTGACTCAACCATTTCTAGGAGGAAAAGGCCAGACAATTATTCTCACAGCTGAAGCATCTTTCAAACCACTTGATACAAGTTGTAAGTTAATGACAGCTTATGAAAACAGGCTCCCTCCTCCTTTCATACACAGTTATGCCTCACTTGTATACTGGAGTGCTCCAAACAAGTCAATGAGCATGTACACAAAGGAAGTAACTGATGTTCTTTTAAATTATGTTTGACAGGGGTCCCCAAAAAATTCTTTACAGCTAGTTTAGATTTTGGTTTGGGTGGGTTTTTGGGGGGTTGTTAAGAGACAGACAAAAGGATTTAACAGCATGTTTTCCACAGTGGATCAGAGTTACCAGTCCAATCCTACAGGA